TGGTAAAATCCCATTTAAAAAATGAAGACACTAAGGCTCAGATAAATTACTTGATGTTAGAGGGAGAGCAAGATACCTACTATTGAGTATTTTAAATCTAGTTCCATTTAGATGGTTTTCAGTATTTGAAATCAATGCTTTCTATCAGACTCCAAAATTCGTATTTTCAGAGCTTTTCTGCATAGATTCCCAATATTTCAGTACGAGTTTAGCAAAAAGTTCTTATGAAATTTACCCAAAGGGTATTGCACCCATGGTTCATGCTCTTTTATATTGGACTAGAGGCTCAGTGCATGAAATTTGTATGCTCAGGGGGGGGTCCCTCAGCCCAGCCTGTGCCCTCTTGCAGTCTGGGAGCCCTTGGGGGATGTCTGACTGACAGCTTAGGCCTGCTCCCCTTGGGCCTAAGCCACCAGTCAGACATCAGTGCTGCCACGGAGGTGGGAGAGGCTCCCGCCACCACTGCTGCACTAACCAGCTGTGAACCCAGCTTTTGGCTGAGCAGTGCTCCTCCTGTGGGAGTGCACTGACCACCAGGGGGCAGATGCTCAATGCAGGAGTTGCCCCCTGGTGGTCAGTGCATGTCATAGCGACAGGTCATTCCACAGTTTGGTTGATTTGCATATTAGCCTTTTATTATATAGGATTGCCAGTATATGGACAAGGGGTTCTTATTATTTTAGTGTCCTAGAAGTTTGATAAAGGGGTATACCTGTACAAGATTAACTCATAAAGCCTGATTCATTGAATAAAATAGAAAAATCAATAGTTCTTTTAACACTAGTACCTTCTTTTCCCTTTTGGATATACTGTATATTCCATCAAAGGTACTGGCTAGTTCTGTCCTAGGCAATATGTATTGTATTTGGTGTATAGACTCTGCTCTGACTTTCTTTAGCACTGAAGTGTATTCTTACTTAGTAGGCTGATGAGCTGACATGGCTTCTCTTGCTTGAGTTCTCATTTTTCACAATAGCCCAGAAGTGGAAACAATTGAAATGTCCATCACCTGATGAATGGATAAATGATTATGGTATATCCATACAATGGAGTACTGTTCAGCAATAAAAAATGAAGTACTGATATATGCTACAACATGGTTAAACCTTGAAAACATTATGCCAAGAGAAAGAAAGAAGTCACAAAAGACCATGTGTTGTTTTATTTCCTTTGTATGAAATGTCCAGAATAAGCAAGTCTAAAGAGAAAAGGTAGATTTGTGGTGATCTAGGAATGGAGGTATTTGGGACAAATGAAGAGTGATTGCTAATGGATATAGGTTTCTTTGGGATGATAAAAATGTTCTAAAAATTGACTGTGGTGGTTGCACAATTCTGTGAAGATACTAAAAACCATTAAATTTTACCACTTAAATGGGTGAATTATATGGTATGTTAATTATATTTTAATAAAACTGTTACTTTAGAAAAATGCATTCTGCATCTTTCTCTACCTCAGAGAAGACCGTCCTTATTTTAGTATTTTTATCTTTATTGAGCTCACCATTTTCAAGTTTCTGTTGCATTTCTCTGGTATCTTATTATCAAAAGTAGAGAAGTATGTAGATATATGTTTGTATATGAGTATCATCAAGAGAAGCCTAGATAGCTGCACCTTGCAGTCTCTTTGAGAGATGTTACCTGAGAGAATCATCAGCTTTGTCATTTCAGAAATTGTTTGATCAAGGTGCTAGACCTGAATGGACCGATGTTCTGTCACTAGAGTCACAAGAAGCTAAAGACTAGCAGTACTATACTGATGTTCTTGTTGGTCTAACAGATATATTCTCTGTCTGTGGGAAAACTACATAAGTTAGTGGCCATATTCATGTTGGCCATGAAATCATCACGTGAGTTCAAAGTTTAATGGCATTTGCCATGGTAACCTAAAGCACCTCTCTCTCTATAAGAACACTAGAGGCCTGATGCATGGAATTCATGCAAGGGGCTCAGCCCTCGAAGCCGCAGTGGCTTGCCTCAGCCCTCGCAGCCCTGGCTTCGTCCTGAAGGTCGTCCAGAAGGTTGTTCGGCTGTCCGGTCTAATTAGCATATTACGCCTTTATTATTATAGATAAGTGTTTCTAAAAGTGTACGTACTGAGTTCCTGAACTGAGAAACATCTTTTCCTAACAAGGCTAGTTTTCTTGTGTAGGTAGTTGAATTTTCAGTTTAAAAAGTAAATAAAAGTTAAATAAACCAAATAAAATATTCCATTAATAGCCATCTTTTCTGAGTGACAGTACTTCACTGTGTTCTTACTTGAGGCATCTACTGCCAACATTCCCTTCTGGGGTATAGCAGAAGTCCTGCAAACCATCTAGAGCTTAGTTTCCCACTTAAAAAAGTTTTTTTCAGCGTACCCACTTTATACTTTGTCAGTGTTTCAAGGTTTTAGAAAAGCAGAAAGGATTTGGTCTTAATATGATAAAATAGATTGAAAGTACATGGCAAAAAAAAAAAAGAAGAAAAAGAAAAGAAACAGCATTTAAGGAAGAGATTACCATTTTTAGTATTTGGCCTAGTTTTTTGAGTTTATTTGTGGTTTTGACACTTGCCTGCTAATTGTGATAGAGTGGTAAACTGGTTTATTTATAGTCTCCATTCAGTAGACTTGTTCAATGTGTGCCTTGCCTATTCTGCAAGAGTTCAAATGAAGTTTATTCCCTCTGTTTCTTTAGCACTGCCACATTTTTGGTGCTCAGAAGGGAGTTAAGGTAGATTGCAAAGGCAGCAGAAGAATGTTGCATATCAGAATCCCTGATATGATCATTTTTATAGAAAAGTATATTTAGCTCAGGGGAAGAATTTGAGAAACCGTTAAGAAGTATTTAAAAACATAAGCTTGATTCATGACCGAGGGATACATTATTCTTTCATGCACAGTCCAATTCTTAGAGTTTATTTTATTATAAGACTGGCTGGTAGAACACTGACATCTCTGACAGTTTTCATCTAGATTATGGGTGCTTTAAGGTATTGCTTCCCAGCCTTTTACATGTAATGATACACATAGAAAATTATAATATTTTATGGCATACAAAATAGTGGCAATAATCTAGTAGACACCACGTTAACCAAGAAATCAAAGTGAACATTATTAGTAATGAAACAAATAAAAATTGTACGCCACCTGATAGCATATGATGAGAAAATATCTGTTCTGTATATTCCTCTTAAAGATTTATAACCCAGATATAATCATGAGTAAACATCAGATAGATTCACATTGGGGATGGGGGGAACATTTTACAATAACTCATCTGTAATGTCTCAGCCAAGGTCAAGGAGAAATGTAAAGAACTATTTCACACTGAAATAGACTAAAAGAGTCTGAATCAGGAAGTCATGGTTTGATTCCCAGTCAGGGCACATGCCCTGGTTGCAGGCTCGTCCCCTGTATAGGGCATGCAGGAGGTAGCCAGTCAGTGGTTCTCTCTTACCACATTGGTGTTTCTATCTCTCCCTCCTCTTCCTTCCTCTCTGAAATGAGTTAAAATTTTTTTTAAAATTTATATTTATATTTTTATTTACATATAAAAAAGAAAAAGATTGAAAGAGATAAGACAACTAAATGCAATGCATGATTCTGACTTGGACATACTATCTATAAAAGGGTAACATGCAAATTAACCATCACCCCATCACAAAGGTGGCAGCGCCCATAGTCATAAGATGGCAGCACCCAGTCCTCTCAGTCCCACTGGAGTCCCCCAGTCCTGGGGGAGTAGGGTGGTGGTGGCTGGTGATTGTGGGCAGCGTGAGCAGCCTGGTGGAATGCTTGCTTCGTCGTTGTGGCTATGAGGCAAGCATTCTACCCTGGCCGTTTAGGGCCTCTGGGCAGTGGGCACAGGGCGGTGGTGGTGGTGGTGGTTGGTAGAGGACACTGGGCCATCGCCCCGGTGATAAGGCAAGTGTTCCATGTCCAGATGCAGATGAGCCGTGGGCCACGGAGAGCCTCTGGGCAGCCGGTGTGGAGCCGCCAGGCCCCGCAGAGGGCTACTGGTGCACAGATTTGAGCACAGGGCTACTAGTTGTTAAAATAATTGGCCAAACTGAGTCTGAGGCTTAGGTGTAGAGAAGTATCAGTGTTCATTTCCTGATTTTGATGACCATATTGCAGTTATTTAAGAATATTTCTGTTTATAGGAAATACAAAGTATATAGTTATTTGGCAAATTATTCCCAAGTGGTTCAGGAAAAAAATTTCATTATATTATTCTTACAACATCTCTGTAAGTTTGGTATTGTTTTTAAAATGAAAAATACGAACATGCAGATCCAGTAAACTCTGAATGTATGACTTACTTTAAAAGTTACGTAGCTTTTTGTGGAGCCTGTCTTAGGTTATTAATCTTCTCATGGGAAAGCCATGTGAAGTAGCAACGTAATTTATGTGGGAATGATATCTTTCATGGAATACATTTTCTAAATTATCAAAGCTCATTAAGTGCTAAAATGTTTTTTAACTGTTTTTGATATATCCTCTACTTTTTGGCCTTTTAAAACAGAATACATTGAACTTGGTCTTGTCTCTTTTGGATGACTAATGTCCCTAATTATATGAATATTTATTAACCTGTTCTGAATATTATCTAAGTCTAGATCCACTTGTAGCCTTTGGGGTTTTATTTTGTTTTGGTCTTATCTCTCAACGGCTGGTTTTCAGTTCTGTTGATGTACTTAATAGTTTGCCAGTTTTCTTTCTAGTGTTTTATATCTAATCTGCTGCAGTCTTAAAAACAAGTGCATGCCTTTTCCTTTTTAATGTTATGTTAATAAAACCGTGAGGTTTAAGTGTATTTTATCTAAGTTATGTACATACTGCACCTTCTAAAGCTTAATTCAGGATTATGACTAGGTTTCAAAGAGTTCTAAAAACTGGAGTTACTATAAATAGAAGGTATCTTTTTCAGTCATTTATTAACTTTCCTTAGAATGTCAGATGAAATCAGATACTTTTAAAGGAAACCCATCCTGATTTTTTTTTTTTTTTAATTTCAGAGCTCCAGAGATTATATTGGGGCTGCCATTTTGTGAAGCCATAGACATGTGGTCCTTGGGATGCGTGATTGCAGAATTATTCCTTGGATGGCCGCTCTACCCAGGAGCCTTGGAGTATGACCAGGTAACTGACCTGTCAAGATAATCTAGTAGAATTGGTAGATTGTAAAAAAAAAAAATAATAGAGTACTAAGAATGCATTTCTTTAGTTACACAATACATATGGAAAATCTTTTAAAAATAAAATGGCTAGTCCTGAGATCTTGTGGATTTTAAATTTAAGATCCCAAAACTGTTTGATTTTTAAAAACTCTTATATAACACTAAGTAAATTTCATAAACAAAGTTAGAGTCACAGGCCCAGAAAACAGTTTTGCAAAGTTCGTGGGAGATTTTTTTTTGCATCATTTTTATACTATTGGACTGTGTCCATTTGAATACTAGTGCTTTAGCAGTGTGAGTAATAAATTGGGGGTGAATGATGAGGTCATTAGAGAGGCAGGTATACTGATTAGGAGACATGTGAAATTATGTAGCTCAGAATTAAAGAAGTCCTGAAATAGGGATGGAGAGGAGGGGCAGTTATGGTTACGGTTTTGGATGTTGGGGAGGGTGATGAGGGAGACAGACTTGTCTGGCATAAATTTCAGGTTTCTGATTTGTGTGGTTGGGTTGCTGTTGATCAAAAGGGGAAGACATGGGGATTAACAGATTTAAGGGAAAATCAGTTTAGAATATGTTCACTTTGAAGTACCTAAAGGCCAGCTGATTGGAGAGTTTCAGTTAGCAATTGAATCTACAGTTCCAGAGCAAGAGTTAAATATTTAAAGTTAGAGGTAAAATTAGGGACACTTGCGGCTTGTAGAGGGCAGGAAGAAGACATAAAACTCTGGAAGGCAGTGTCATATGGAGGAAGGCAATGAAAGAGTGTCAAGAATAAGAGGTAAACCAGAAAAAATGTGGAAATGGAAGAAACAGAGTTTTTAAGTAAAAAGGTAATGGGTAATAGTATTAAGGTAGGAAAAGGCTTAATATGGGACTATTAAATATGTCAGTTATTAACAGGCCATTACTTGTCTTAACCATATTACGGGAGCGATAGTTAAATTGAAGTTGTAGTGTGTTAAGATGAGAAGTAAGATATAGGCTACTATTTTAAGACTTTTAAGTGAACGAGGAAAGAATTTTGAGTAAAGGAAATTTTGAGGGGGATAGAAGATATTAATCATTTATGTAAATTGAGGGGGATGATCTCAGAGAGAGGAACAAATAGAAGATGCAGAAGAGGACGGATTAATTAATAGAGCAGAGTCCTTGAGGTTTAAAAAATGAGAACCTTGAGTTCTCAAACACACTTTAGAGAACTTACACCTCTTTTTTCCCCTGTGCTGCTTAGCCATTAAATTGGAGAATAGATGTTTGAGGGTCTGCTATGTTTCAGACATTATCATGGGTGTATATTTAAGTTAACAAAACAAAGTCCTTCCCTTCATGAAACTTTACATTCTCATGGAGGGTAGGGTAAGAAAACAAAGTAATCATAGAGAGTTATCAGCTGGTAGAAAGCATGGTGGAGAACAATACAACAGAGTAAGGAAGATATGGGTTACTGAAGAGGGAAGAACTTATTATTTATTGGTGGGTCATGGGAGGCCTCATGAATAAGGTGACATTTGAGCTGAGAGCTGAAGGAAGTGAAAGATGAGCCATACAGATGTCTGGGCAAAGAGTGTTCCAAACAGAAGGATATTAAGTTCAGAGGCCCTGAGGCTGGAACTTTTCAGTATTCTGAGTGCTCATCTATGCCTGTATCTCTTCGTCTACTGACTCAGCCAGGCCAGTGACATGGATGTGGTCGCTCCAGTGCTCCCACAGTCATTATTCACCAAGCCTGTCAATCTAAGTCTCTCTTAAATCCACTCCTTCCTTTCTATCCCTACAGTCTCTCAATTCACACCTTCCTCATCTCTCCTCTGGCTCCAGCTTCTCACCATTCTTAGATGTTAAAAATGTAACTTGTCAGTTTCCTGCTTAGATGTCTCCTGTGGTTTCCCATTTTATTTTGCCTCCTGGAGTAAATAAAATCCTTTTGCCTCTAATTCAATTTCATCTCTTGCCATTTCTCCCTTATTGAACCACTATGCTTCCACTCTGAATGTGTGGGCATTTTTTCCCGATTTTCCATATTATAACCTTAACATAAATCATAATAGATTAGATTTCCCCCACTCCTCCCGGGCTAACAAACTCTTCCTTATTTGTTCTTTAAGACCCAACTTGAGCATCACCTTTTCTGGAATTTTCTATAACTAGAATTAATTTAGGTATTCCTTTCCTCTGTGTCTTTCCATAAAGTATGCATTTATTGTGGTATTTATAATAATTGTATGATACTTATAACTGCATTATAATTGTTGATTGTGTATTTTCCACTATGAATTTCTCGAGGGCATAGACTATATCATTTAATTCTTGAATTGATACTTAGCATAATGTCTGATATATAATAGGTATTCAATTAATATCTAATGCATGAAAGAATAAACTCTTCTGTTTTGTAAATTATTTTTCAGATTCGATACATTTCTCAGACTCAAGGTTTACCAGGAGAACAGTTGTTAAATGTGGGTACAAAATCCACAAGATTTTTTTGCAGAGAAACAGATATTTCTCATTCTGGTTGGAGATTAAAGGTAATTCATTTAAAAATATATATATTTAGAAAAACACTTTTTCTCAGATGTCTCATGTGCATGGATAATGCCCTCCATGCTTATTTTTATTTTATTGCATTTTTCCTTCTTTTGAATTTTCATTTTTGACATAGATAGCCCTCCCCCCCTCCTTAAGGAGGAAAGCCCTTTTTTTAATAACTTAGCTCATTCTCTGACCTGGCAACATAATTATTAACTTATCTTAAACGACTTTGTAAAAAATGTTATGAGTATAATTACTTTTGTTCTGTGTGTTTAATCTTCTTTATCCAGGTCTATATTATTAAGCTTTATAGGACAAGGACTAAATCTAACCACTTAGTACATAACCCAAGTACTGAATTTATTCCTGAATCTTTGGGGGATTAGTAAATCCTCAATGTAATATTAATTTTGTAATTATTTTGTTTAAGGACTTTGTTGTATGTATATATTTTTTTTACCTGAATCAAGCTCTCTTAATTTTTTTTATACTTTAATAAAAATACATTTACGGTAGTTATTCCTTTGAAACTACTACTTGCCTTAAAACAGTAGTTCCAAACGTAGGACACATGCCCCCCAGGGGGGCAATTTGATTCTTAAGGGGGGCAATTCAAGAATGAGTATTAACAATGAATTTTTTGCATTTCTTATGGTTCTAGGGACCTCATATACAGTATATAAATGTATATTGTGACATATTTATGCATTTTAGTTCTCTATTATATGTGTAAAAATTTTTTAAAATATATATTTTTTATTGATTTCAGAGAGGAAGGGAGAGAGAGAGAGATAGAAACATCAATGAGAGAGAATCATTGATCGGCTGCCTCCTGCACACCTGCTACTGGGGATGGAGCCCACAACCCAGGCCATGCCCTTGACTGGAATCGAACCCGGGACTCTTTAGTCCGCAGGTTGATGCTCTATCCACTGAGCCAAACCAGCTAGGGCTATTATATGCTTTGAAACTTTATTATTTTTTTCATATCACTTCATATTATTATTATTTAAAAAAATTTCTTAGTGATTTCTTCCTCAGTACTTCAACTGCCCTTTCATACTTTTATTTTCCTATTTCATGTTGCCATGTTTTTTGGAAACTTGTTTAGATCAAGTTAATGGCATTTTAGGCCTCCTCCATGTAAATAGGAGTTCACTTTTTGATTAATAAGAACTATATGTTACAGGGGGCATCAGGATTTTAAAGATGCTTACTTTGGGGCCTGGCCAAAAAATGGTTGGAAACCACTGCCTTAGAATATTCAATATATTAAACTAAATATGCCAGGATTAAAGGAATAAAGAATTTACACATTATGGGTAATAACATATTATTTCCCCTCTTTGATATATTCAATAAGACACTAGAAGAACATGAGGCAGAGACAGGAATGAAGTCTAAAGAAGCCAGAAAGTACATATTCAACAGTCTGGATGATATAGTGCATGTGAGTACCATGGTCACAGTCGTGAATCGTACTTGCTAAAGGTGCTGGGCTTGATTGTCAATGGTATGAAAACATCATTTTCTAATTGACTAGAATGCTTGCTGTTTTTTAACCCTTTCTGACAAAATTGATTTTAAGTTTTTAATCTTTCAGGAACTAAATTGCATTTGTCTTTATTATGTAACTTATACAATCTGTTTTTTAGTTAAAAAACAATATTTTTTTAAAGGGAAAATCCTAGCAAACAAATTTCTTTATATCTCATTAGAAATGGATATATTTAGGGAAAAGGCTTTTTTTCCTTCTTAAACCCTATTTGATGCTTGAAAACATTTTGAGAATTTGTTAAGCTCAACTGTTTGTTCTTGTTTCAAAATAATTATAGTTCCTTGTTCTTTTCTATGTTGTGTTGTATTTTTTTTTTTTAACTGAAATTTTAGCATATGCGATGGCTTACTTTTATTTGATAACTTGACATTTTGATTTTGCAGGTGAACACAGTGATGGATTTGGAAGGAAGTGATCTTTTGGCTGAGAAAGCTGATAGAAGAGAATTTGTCAGTCTGTTAAAGAAAATGTTGCTGATCGATGCAGATTTAAGAATTACTCCAACTGAAACATTGAACCATCCTTTTGTTACTATGAAACATCTTCTAGATTTTCCTCATAGCAACCAGTATGTTACTTTAAAATCTTTTAAAAAGTGATTCTGGGAAAATAATAACTTATCTATCTATCTATGCCTAATATGCAAATTGTCCCTGTGGGAGTTTAACCAGAAGACCAATCACTCACTATCACGTGTGCTGACCACTAGGGAATGGCGCGGAACTGAGATGGTCCCTATCAGTCCTGGTCATTGGCCAGGCCTAGGAACCCTACCCATGCACGAATTTTGTGCACTAGGCTTCTAGAACTGTCTTTAAAAAAAATGAGTGTGTTAAAATGATTCAATTTCTTTATGAAATACAAATATTACAGTGATCTCTACCTCACTTTTTTGTTTTTGTTTTGCAGTGTAAAGTCCTGTTTTCATATCATGGATATTTGTAAGTCCCACCCAAATACATGTGACACAAATAATCACAATAAAACTTCACTTTTAAGACCAGTTTCTTCAACTAGTACAGCTAATCTGGCAGCAAGTTTTACTAAACTTGGCACATTAAGAAGTCAGGTAAGAATCTAAGAATTTATTTTTTTTCTGACTGCTCATTTTGCTTTTGAAGTCTCATGTCACCAGTTAGAAGTTAACAGTTCTGGTGAGGTCTTCCATGGCTGTCCTATTAAATATCTAATATTTCAGGGAACAGCTGGAACAGACCTACCCAAATTCACTTGTTTCCTCTCACCTTTCATTCTTTCAATACCCTCTACCTGCCCGCTGTGCCATTATTCTATGAATAGTAGAACTCAGTACAGTCAGTGTCTGGACCCATTTTGATCATAGAATTAAGGTTTTAAGAAATGTGTTTTAATTCTCTTTATAAAGCATGTGTGTAGCAGTAAGACTGTTCTGTGTAATGCCACGTACATTGCTCATTGCAGGCATTAACCACATCTGCACACTCGGTTGTGCACCATGGAATCCCTCTGCAGGCGGGGACTGCTCATTTCGGCTGCGGTGATGCTTTTCAGCAGACACTGATTATCTGCCCCCCAGCTATCCAAGGTATGCTTTCATTTAAGTTATGCTTTGCATTTAGGCATGCATTATTCTTAAACAAATTTAGTTATTCCTTAAATATACTGTACAGTTTTTGCTGCATTTAATGCTACATTTGAATTTAAGCTTATCAGTAGCCTTAGACCAGTGACGTTTCATTATCAACAGTATGGGTCATGTGACAGTTGTATTTCCTGTAGAGTCTAGCACGATAAAATACCTCAGTAGGAATTAATGAGCTTGAACGCTATGCGTTGTCCTGTACTGTCACTGCTCCAGAAGTTCAGCTAAGTACATATTATCTATCATCACTAGACAGTCAAGTGACTGAGAGTTCACCCGGTTACTAAGTTTTGGTCAAAGGAATTCTGTCCCAGATGTTCTAGTCTTGTTCTTGAACCATATCTTAGTTTTTTGTTTTTCAAAAAGATTGATTTTGACTAAATCAAATCCCTTAGTAGATAAAAATACCAAATTAAGCCCTCAAGTGTGATGAGTGGCAGAATTCCTTTGAAGAGGCCATAAATTCTCAAAGGGGAACTTCTTCATGGTTCTTAGTGGGTGATAGCAGCAGATTTTGTGATTGGAATAATAAGAATAAAATCTTACTTCCTAGTCCTTTCATAGCATCTTGTTCTTGGTAAGATTTAACATCTAGTTATATCTTAAAAGAGCAAGAAGTTAATTATAATTGGGGCCCTGACTGACCCTTTGAAACATGATGTTAATACTGTATGTATAGGTATGTATGTGTAAGTAAAAATTGTTGCTAAGTCTGTACACCTGGGATACAGTTCTGTTTCTCTGATTTGCTGTGTTATCCTAGACACATCTGTTAACCCGTTTCGTCTTAGTCAAAGGAAACAGGCTGAATAGATACTGTTTTAGTCATTTCTAGCTCTTAATATTTCTGGATCCTGAAGGTTATTTTAGTTTTATATTTGATTTAAGAATTTAAGCAATTTAAAAAATTAATAATAATAATAAAAAAACCCTACTACAATGCTTAACAAGCACCAAGAATGTTTGTTGCCTTGATTGGCTGGTAACAAGAGATATAAAAACATGTTAACTCTGTAGCCACTTTTGTTTGATCCATGTAGATTTACTTTCATCTTTTTATATATATATATATATATATATTGGGTTTTCATATAAGGTTTTATTGAAAGGTTTTTATCACTGAAATATTAAAAAAACCACACAACTTAGATGATTGCTTCACAAGATGAGCTTGTGGTTCAGTGGTGGACTATTCCTGTGACAGTGACTCATGGCTGGTTTCTAATAATGAAAGTGAAAATACCCACATTATTGTCAGGACTCTTAAAGATTTTGCTGTGTTTATTTACTTGATTTTTCTCAACTATGTATTATAAAAATTTTAAGCATATAGAAAAGTTCAAAAAATAATATTATACCTTTTACCCTAGATTCAACAAATGTTAACACTTGATAAAAAAAAAAATAGACCACCTCGGGGTAGAAGATAATAGGAGAATTCTTCTTATCTTAAAATATTAATTATGAGGAAAACTTAAGGACATTGTGGTTTTTGTTGGGATTTGAGAATTTGCTCTGTCCTTTAATTCTTGTTAAAGTGAATTATGAGATTGTTTATGCTGCAATGTATCTATATTGCTGGGTGTTCTTATAGTCCTTTTCTTGGATAATTTGCTGATCAAGACATGCTTTTTTTGAAGGGGCAAGAAAGTCAGTTTATGAAAGAATCTGTAAAGAAAAAAAAAAATCTGTAGATCTTCATTAAATTTAGTTCAGATCTAGTTCTTTAGGTGGAGCTCAGAGGGTAGAACACCCAGGCAGTAAGATAAACTTCTCTGTACAGAAAATAAACACAGCAAAATAAATTTTCCTCTTTGGAATTTAAGAATTTTTATTTTTCAATTATACTTGACATTCATTGTTATTTTGTGTTAGTTTCAAGTATATGGCACAGTGGTTAGACACTCACATAACTTGACAAAGTGATCCCCTCAATATTTCCAGTACTCACCTGGCTCCATACATAGCTATTACAATATTTTTGACTATATTCCCTGTGCTGTACTTTATATCCCCATGACTATTTTATAACTACTAATTTTTACTTCCTAATCCCTTCGCCTTTTTACATAGCTCCCAACCCCTCCCCTCTGACAACCACCAGTCTCTTCTCTCTATCTGTGAGTCTGTTTCTATTCGTCTATTTATTTTGTTCTTTATATTCCACATATAGGTGAAATCATATGGTATTCGTCTTTCTCTGATTTACTTATTAGCATAATACCCTCCTCTTTAGGATTAGCACTTAAAATATATTAATGCAATAAAAATTGTAAAATTATTTTTCAATAGGAAAAGAAGACAGTTATATTTTTCTCTAATGGCCAATCAGATATACCTAACATCACTTTTATCTAAAATTGATTGTATTAAATAATCTGCCAACCTATATTGAAAGCAACTCCTGCAACAAATTGCTTTATAACAATTTCTGGAATAATGTATCAGAAGGTAGACAAAATGTACATTGCTTTCCTAATAGATTACTTTGTTAGTGTTAATGAAAATGTTGTGTACGGGATGGTTTTACAATTCTAACCAGATTTTAAACAATTGTTTAAATTTTAGGAAGAAAATTTCTTTCTCGGAGTTAACTTATGTTTGGAACTGTTCTTTTCTATTTCACAGGGATTCCTACCACACATGGTAAACCCACTAGTTACTCAATAAGGGTGGATAATACAGTTCCACTTGTAACTCAGGCCGCGGCTGTGCAGCCACTCCAGATCCGACCAGGAGTTCTTTCTCAGGTCGGTAATAATTCATCCTTTCTGCATGTGCGCTGTCCTCTCCATACTCAAGTAGGGGGACTGATCCATTTGTATTGGGAAACAATGAAAATAATCTGGATGGGAATTCAAGCTTTGTAGATTATTGACTTTAACTTTTAAATTATTAGATGATTGTTTAATGTGTTTTTGATTTTAGGATCTAATGATGAATGATTTATAACTCTTCCCCCTCTTCTTCCCTCCCTCCTTTCTCTTTGTTGTTGTTTGTTTGTTTGTTTTTGGTGCAACAGACATGGTCTGGTAGAACCCAGCAGATGCTGGTACCTGCCTGGCAGCAAGTAACACCCTTGGCTCCTGCTGCCACTTCGTTAGCTTCTGAGGGTGTGGCTGGTTCACAAAGACTTGGAGACTGGGGGTAAGTTAGGGGAAAAAAGCACTTTTTTGTGGATAGTTTGCAAAATCGTTTTTGTTAAAAAGGAAATTCAACTTTTTCAACTTTCTCCTTAGGAAAATGATTTCACACAATGGTCATTATAGCTCAGTGATGCCGCAACCTCTTCTAACCAATCAGATAACTTTATCGGCTCCTCAGCCAATCAGTGTGGGCATCGCACATGTTGTCTGGCCTCAGCCTGCTGCTACCAAGAAGAATAAGCTGTGCCCGAACAGGTTGGTGTTGATATTTTAACTTTATTCTGCATTTTGAGAATTAATCTTTAAGATAAATTTTGCATGAACACTAAAGGGTCACTCTGTTGTATTCAAAATGACCTCTTTGATAGCTTTGTTACAAACACTAAGCCAGCTCCCTTCTCAATTTCTCAGAGGTATTTTGGTAAAACTAATGGAATGGGAGCCAGGAAGAGAGGAAATAAATGCTTTCAGTTGGTAAGACTGTCTTTATTGCCCTTTTGATATTATTTATCTATAATTTTAGACCATTTTAGAGACAGATATCACATTTACCAAAAAAATGGCCATTTGAATGTAATAAATGCAACCTATATTGTTTCTATAGATAATATTTTATGTTTTACAAAACATCTGTATGTTAGAGTGTTATATACATGATCTTGAGTCAAGTGAAAATTCACATTATTTATTTTAATGAGATTTCTTAGAAAAATGTTATGTTCATATTTTGACTATAGAAATGACACGTTATTTCTTTGATTGCAGGAGTAATGCATTGCAGAATACCAATATTCCACATTCAGCATTTATTTCTCCAAAGATAGCAAATGGGAAAGATGTTGAGGAAGTAAATTGTATAGAAACACGGGACAATCATAACTCAGAAGAGGAAAGAAATTGTGAAACATCCGTCAGGCAGGACCCTGATTCATCAGTTTCAGACAAGCAGCGGCAAACCATCATCATAGCTGACTCTCCAAGTCCTGCTGTGAGTGTGATCACTATCAGCAGTGACACAGATGAGGAAGAGACAACACAGAGACATTCTCTCAGAGAGTAAGTGCCAAAGCAGTTTCCTTAAATAATAACGATGGCGCCCCCTGGTGTGGCGAACAATAACTTTCTGTAGCCTAGTGTCTTTAGAGTAAATTTCCTAAATAGTATTTAACATTGTTATAGCATTTTCCCTGTATTTATTTCCTTTTGTCTATGTAGATTACTCTTAACTGGTTCATATATTTAGATGAATTAAATTTTGGCTACTTGACAAATACCTTCTCATTTTTAAAATTTCTCTCCCCTTCTCTCTTACTAGTTGTAAAGGTAGTCTAGATTGTGAAGCTTGCCAGAGCACTTTGAATATCGATCGGATGTGCTCATTAAGTAGTCCTGATAGTACTCTGAGCACCAGCTCCTCGGGGCAGTCCAGCCCATCCCCTTGCAAGAGACCTAACAGGTAAAGGAAATTTAATAGTGGCATGCAATACATAGGAAGTTAACTAAAAAGCCTGATTTCTTTTGTAGTTGTTTAAATTAATAAAGATTTTAAAAGAATCATCTGTTTTTAAAAGGGTAAAAAGCCAAGAACTTCAACTTTAGCTCCATACACTGTTATTATAACTTTGAATAAGAACATACACTTTTGCAAAATAAAACAAGACTGTTTTGCATAATAAAGTGATGACCCAGTGTTAATAGAATATCTGCTGTGATTCTTTCTCTCACTGGATTGATTAGCACGGTTTCATCCGTATTTCCTTGCCTACCCTTCCTTTTGCCCAGGAACACGGATTGCCACTAGGGTAGTGAGCTTCCTCTAGCCTGCATGGTGTGCTAACACATGAAGTGATTTGCCACAAAAGTTTAAGCGGAATACATTTGATTTTAGCTTTAGGATTCATTCATTCTTTTTTTTTTTTTTTTTTTAGTGAAAACAAAATTTGAATAACTTTTAGATCTTAATTTTATACATTTGTCTTCTCTCTTTCTTTAGCCAGCTATTGCATACTTATAACCAAAGCTCTGTGGAAGACAGAGTAATTTTAACACATCTTCTTATAAATTGCTTATAATGTGGTTTGTAAGTTGATATATTCCCATATATATAAATATGTGCATATATATGAAAGCATGTATATATAAATGTATGTATACAATATATGAACAAAAATATGTAACCAAAATATACCTATAGAAAGTGATGCTTCAAAATGTTAAATATGAAATGAATGATTAAGACAGACAATAAGTGCTGTGGAAATCACAAGGAGAGATACTGTCAGGGTCCAGAAAAGTCAAGAAAAGATGAGAAATAATGGGCATCTTGCTAGGCCTGCAGAGGAGTGGGGAAGACCTTTCAAATAAGCAGTCAGTTAAAAGGACACAAGGTACCACTAAAGAGATCTATTTTAACATTAGAATGTAATCTGAAATGTCTATCACGTTTGTTCATGTCCTTTAAATTATCCAGAAGAGGGCTGCTTTTGTAGTATTTGATGAAAAGTTTTGGAATTTAGAAAGTGGGATTTATGAACTACTAAGGTTCAGCTGGGAAAGGAAAGAAGAGAAAATCCGAGCTAAAAGAGGTTCCTAAACAGGACAGGATTGGGATTATTACTCGGAAGAGAGAATTAACATGAGAGTCTAAAAAATTTATGAAAAATGCGTTATTGACCAAGGAAGAAATCATAATTAGATATGAAATAATTGAATAAGTTTGTTACCAGTTTGCTGGAGCCTGAATATCATTTAACTTTACATTTAATGTGAAATGCATATTATTCACAAAAGTACTTTCTTACTGTAGTATGTCAGATGAAGAGCAGGAGAGTGGTTGTGATACGGTGGACGGCTCTCCAACATCAGACTCTTCGGGACATGATAGTCCTTTTGCGGAGAGCACTTTTGTGGAGGACACTCATCAGAACACAGAACTGGTGCCCTCTTCCGACACAGAACCCAAGCCAGCTGTCTGTGCTGTTGTGGTGCCACCAATGGGACTAGAGAATGGATTAAATGCCGATGAGCATATGGCAAACACAGGTAAGCTGAGTCCTCCCTATTTCTTTTTCTTTTTAAATTATAGAGGACTTAATTTATTTATTTATTTTATTTTTAAATAAATATTTATTGTTCATATTATTACAAATGTTCCTCATTTCCCCCTCCCCCCCCATTGCTCCCCTCCACCAGGTTCCCACCCCACCCTCTGCCCTTTCCCCACCCCCCATTGTCCTCATCCATAGGTGCACCGTTTATGTTCAGTCTCTTCCCACACCCCCCTCTCCCCTTTTCCCCTAAAATAGTCAGTCCACTCCCCTTCCATACCTCTGATTCTATTATATTCAACAGTTAATATTGTTCATCAGATTTTTTTTTTAAATTCCCTTGGTTTTTAGATTCACTTGTTGATAGTTAGGTATTTGTTGTTTATAGTTTTTATCTTTATTTACTTTCTCTCCCAAAAGAACCCCCTTCAGCAATTCATATAATTCTTGTTTGGCGGTGAACTCCTTTAGCTTTTTTTTTATTATTAGTGAAGCTCTTTATCTGGCCTTCGATTCTGAGTGATAGCTTTGCTGGGTAGATTATTTTTGGCCGTAGGTTCTTGCTATTCATCACCTTGAATATTTCTTGCCATTCCCGTCTGGCCTGCATGGTTTCTGTTGAGAAATCAGCTGACAATCGAATGGGTGCTCCTTTATAGGTAACTACCTGCCTTTCTCTTGCTGCTTTTAATATTCTCTCTTTGTCTTTTGCTCTTGGAATTTTAATTATGATCTGTCTTGGTGTGGTCTTCTTTGGATTCCTTTTGTTTGGAGTTCTGTGTGCTTCCTGGACTTGTAAGTCTAATTCTTTCATCAGGTGGGGGAAGTTTTCTGTCACTATTACTTTCAGTATGTTTTCGATATCTTGCTCTCTCTCATCTTCTGGGACCCCCATAATTCTGATGTTGGTTTGCTTGAAGTTGTCCCAGAGGTTTCTTACATTATCTTCAACTTTCTGGATTCCCTTGTCTTCTTGCTTCTGCTGAGGAGTGTCTTCTGGCTCTTTATGTTCCAAATCTTTGACTTGATTCTTGCGATCTTCCATTTCGTTTTTAGGACTCTGTATAATATTTTTTATTTCAGACAATGTATTCTTTATTTCTTGTTGATCCCTTATTATTTCTTGTTGATTCCTTATTAGTTCTTGTTGATCCCTTTTCATCTCCTCATAGGTCTTATCAACCTTTTCTAGGAAATTCTTGAAAAACCTTATAAGCGTGGTTTTGAACTCTATATCCAGTCTTTCTTTCCCTCCATTTCTTTTGTTTGTGATCTGTTTCCTTGTCTTGGCATTTTCACAGCTTCCCTGAGTTGGTAGAGTGGCTTTGTGTGCCAAGGTGTCCTATATGGTTCAGTGAGTCAGCCTCCCAATTACCTGAGGTGGACAGTCTTGGTGTAGCCCTTTGTGGGATGTGTGTGCAGACTTGTTGTTAAGCCTTGCTTGTTGTTGATATCACTAGGAAGCGTTGATCTCCAAGCCAATTGGCTGTGAGGATCAGAAGTGTCTCAGCTAGGAGGGTTTCTGTATTCCACTTGGATGGACAGAGTCTCGGGGTGGCATAGACAAGCTTTGTTGAATCTCGCACAATTGGTTGCAGGCGTGCGCACCTCTTTGGTATAGGTGCAGATAAGCTTTAGATTCCTGTCTGCCCTTCCCTAGGAGAGTCCTATTGGTAGCAAACAAGGAAGCTAGCCACTGGAAGGGCCTCTGTGCTCTGCTTGGATGGGGCATAGTCTCAGGTGGTGCAGACAAGCTTTATTCAGCCCCTCCCTACGAGGGCCTAGTTTCTGAGTCCCGCAGTAATGGCCGCTGGCTTCACACACCTCCGAGAAATCCCCGCCCACTGCCCGACAGTCTGGCCTCTCCCTGTCTGGGGCCGTCTATCAGCGCAATAGGGTGGTCCTGTTTTCCTCCCGAACAAGAAAGCCAGCAGCGCATTAGCTGTCCGCCCTCTCCGCGCTGTGAGTAAGCCAGTAGCAAACTCGGCCCGCCCTCTCCGCGCTCTGCAAGCAAGTCGGCAGCAAACTCTGTGGCCGCTTTTTCGTGCGCACAGTTCTCCGCACCTTCACAGTTCCTGAGGTTCAGTGCGCCTTCTCTCTCCTTCCCAGATGGTAGAGCCTCCCCTCAGCCAGCCATCCTGCGCTTCAGGGTGATGTTTTCCCTGTTTTTCAGTTCAAAATTCAAACTTGTTGTGGTAGGCTGCATTCGGGTGTCTGCCCTATGCCGCCATCTTGGTTCTTCTCCCCTATTTCTTTATAGTCCCTTAAAAGGCCTTTTTATTTTTATTGTTGGAGCTATTACAGATGTCTCCATTTTCCACCGCTTTGTCCACCCTCCAACCCTCCCTCTTCCTTCTGGCCATCACACTGTTGTCTGTGTGTGGATTATGCATGTATGTTCTTTGGTTAACCCCTTCACCTTCTTTCATTCAGTCCCCCTCCTCCTTCAGCTCTGACAGCTGCCAGTCTATTCCTCATATCCATGCCTCTGTTTCTATTTTGTCCATCAGTTTATTTTGTTGATTAGATTCCACTTAGGAGTGAGATCAATATGGTGCTGGCTTATTTCATTTAGCATAATAATCTCCAGGTCCATCCATACTATCACAAAAGGTAAGATTTACAGCCAAATAGTATGCCATGGTGTAAATGTACCACAGGTTTTTTGTTTTTTTTTTTAAATTCACTCATCTACTGGTAGGCATTTGGCTCTTTCCAGATCTTGACTATTATAAATGTTGCTGCTATAAACATAGGGGCAAATATATTCTTTTGAATTGGTGTATCAGGTTTCTTAGGTTATATTTCCTGAAGTGAGATCACTGGATCCAAAGGCAGTTCCATTTTTAATTTTTTGAGGAAACTCCATACCCCCAGGGGGTTGCACCAGTCTGCATTTGCACAATCTGCACTAGGGTTTTGAACCTTTTCTCCCCATCCTCCCTGGCATTGGTTTGTTGATTACTGATGGTAGATATTCTGACGGGTGTGAAGTAGTATCTCATTGTGGTTTTAATTTTCATCTCTCTGAAAAGTTTATTATTATTATTATTATTATTATTTTTCATCTGAGGACATTTTTTTCATTGATTTTTAGGGAGAGAGAGGGAAAGACAGAGAGAAACATCGATGTGAAACACATTGATTGGTTGCCTCCCGCACAAGCCCTGACCAGGGCCCAGGCCAGGGAGGAGCCTGCAATTGAGGTATTCTGGCGCCCCTAACCAGAATAGAACCCGGGACCTTTGCGTCCACAGGCCAATGCTCTATCCCCTGAGCCAAACTGGCTAGGGCTAAAAAGATTTTAATTTAGGAACACAGAGAATAGTATTACCAAAAGTCATCTCTGAATTTCCAATTTGATCTTGCCAAGTTGCACAAAAGAAATCTCTTCTTATGTCACCCAGTGCTTGGAAATCATGAGATCCCTTTTCTTTTTATTTAATTTTAAGGTTCTCAAATCATTATTGTAGAAAACATCTAAAGACCTTTCTAATTTTTAGTTGATAAGGAGAAAGCACTAATGCTTAACATTTTGCTCATTGCCAGATTCTGTGTGCCAGCCATTGATAAAAGGACGATGTGCTCCTGGGAGATCGAACCAGCCCTCCACCGTGGGTGCTCGTCAGCAGAAACTGGCATCAGCATTCCAGCCCCAGCATTTGAGTTTCAGTCAGGTACGTTTGTCGGTGAATTTATAAGAAGGAGCCTCTGGAATTTACAGGTAGCAGTACTTCACCTAAGGGGAACAGATTCTGAAACTGTATGCAATCTTAATACATTTTACCCCTTTCCTTATCCCAGGTGACTAAAGAGTAATAAACCCGATATCGGAAAATTAAGCAGATTATCCACAGAAATGGAATGCCTCAGAAAAATGAAGCTTTTAGATCCTCTTAAATATAATTTTTAGTGTGTTTGTTTTCTTAGACCCTTTAAATCAGAATGCACATTAATGGATCGATGGCTACATTTCTTATGTGTTAGTAGTCATGGTGATAGTGAGAGATGATGTCTTATTGAGTACTCTCCATCTATTCAGCACGGTGCTCAGCAGTGAGTTTACAAACTTGGGGAAAGAAAAGATCACAGTTATTGGAGTAAGATCTGTGTCCAAATCCTGGTTTTGTCAAATATTACCTTACCCAGGTCTCCTCAGCAAATCTGGACCACAGTTAATGGGAATAATAGCTATCTCATAGGGTTGTTTGGGAATTGAATAATGTCTTGTATGTAAAATGTTAGCTCTACGCATGATAAGTATTCCTGAAATGGTAGCTATTAGTTGTAGTAATGGGGGGATAGTGATAGTACTAGCAGTGGTAGTGGCAATGTTATTATCATCATAATATGTAATAATAAATATTACAATGTTAGAACTAATATATAATTATATTTTTTCTCTTGATTTATACTTAGTACAATTTAAGGTCTGAGAGATCCTCTGATATATCAGTCACAGAGTTTATTGTAATTTCCCTTTTTCTTTTCTTATTATAAATATGTATTTAGTGTGTTTCGTCTGCTTGTTTGTTTTGGATAGGTTCAGCACTTCGGATCTGGGCATCAAGAATGGAATGGAAACTTTGGACATCGGAGACAGCAGGCTTATATCCCTACTAGTGTTACCAGTAATCCATTCACTCTTTCTCACGGGAGTCCCAGTCACACAGCTGTGCACGCTCATCTGGCTGGAAGTACGCACCTTGGAGGACAGCCTACTCTGCTTCCGTACCCAGCAGCTTCCCTCAGTAGTGCTGCTCCAGTGGCCCACCTCCTAGCCTCGCCATGTACCTCAAGACCCATGTTACAGCACCCGACTTACAGTCTATCCCATCCTGGTGGCATAGTTCACCAGGTCCCCGTGGGCATAAACCCCCGCCTGTTACCATCCCCAACCATTCATCAGACTCAGTACAAACCAATCTTCCCACCACATTCTTACATCGCAGCATCGCCTGCGTATACTGGATTTCCTTTGAGTCCAACCAAACTCAGCCAGTATCCATATATGTGAAAACTCAAAAAGGAGTATATTGAAGCTCAATGATAGAAACATTTGATTAAAAATAAAAACATGGTATTTAATAAATATTAGCCATGGCACAAGAAACTTATTTTTGAATCATGTAGACTTGGGTGCAATTTAAACAACTTTGAGCTTTAAAAAAAAAACAAAAAACAAAAACACAAACTCACTTTTAATGTGTTTTGCACATTTGGTATAACTTGTCTTTGGTCATGTTATCTTCTTATGTAGTAACTCTAGACAGGTGACTTATGGGAGCAGAAGTCCAGTTTTGCTCCTGCTATTTTTTATAAAATTGCCTTCTAACTAGTGCAAGACACGTCCACATTTGGGAAGCCATTCTGTGTACAGACTTAGAGCAACAGATGCACATATGTCAAAATTACAGCATACCAGTGAATTGTATTATCCGTGTCTTAGTGTGTAAATGTCGGTCACTTACCTAAGAAATTGAGCTATTGTTCCTTACATTTGCATGTGTCTTTGCATGGGCAAAATGTTGCCTCGACTTTGCTCTTAATGTCGTTCTAATAATCTCAGCTGCATTGTAAACCGTTCCCACACATAGTGCCTTAAATATTTGAGGTTGTTAATGTTATTACCTATATATAAATGTTGAGGACTGCAGCACTTAAAAGTCAGACCTACTCTTTAGTTCTCTTTTGATCGAGTAATGTTCATTTTTGGTTTTGTGTGGTATGATTTGAGGTTGTAGCTGTTTTTTCCTTACTAAGAGGGCAGCATGCTTGCAATAGCTGAATTCTGCTGTCTGAATTTTCAGAATGATCTAGCTTCAAGAAAAGCAAGCAGTTAGTAGTGCTTAAGAAAAATTGATTCAGTATCTAATGGATAGTTGATATCTGTCACAACACAGCATTTTATATACAGTTAAGTAAAACTGCTATACAATCTAAGTTTATTTTGGGAGTGTTTGCTGTATAATTGGATTTAATAAAATATTTAGAGGTTCTCAGTAGGCATGACTTTGAGTAGATAATGAAAGAAAATGCAAATTGCTCATTGATTCATGATGTGGTTTCATCTTAGCTTGGGCAAACCATGCAGTATTTAATAAGTAGTAGCAGAATATTTACTATTGAAGCTTGAAAAGATGTGAGTTCTTTGTGTGCAATTTTTCATTTATGCATGTGAGGGTTTTGGTTGTTTTTTAAAAAGTATTTTTACATTGTAGTACTTGTTTGCTTGTTGGTGGTGTTTGCTTATTTAATACATTCCGTCAGGGACAGAAATTACATGCATTTCTTCCTAGGAAGTGTGTCTTGGGTTTTTCCTTTCTTTCTCTCTCTCGTTTTTTTGGTGATGGTGGTGGTGTTTAAATGAAGTTGCTTTACAGCACCAAAGACTTAATCATCCATTTCTATATAAAAGGTAGCTACTTTTTTGCATAGACCTCAAGTATATTGTAGTGTAGAGGTGGAATGTAAGGAAAGGTATTAAACAGGCTGTGTTTTAGCTTATGGGCAAGTAATAAATTGTATCATTTATCTTGAATGTATCATAGATAAGCTGCTATATAACGATTGCCACTTCAGATAGCTGTGAAATTAGGTGATTAACTAGTTGTTACTTAGCCTTCTAATTTCTGTATAAGTCTAATTACATGAAATAGAAGTTGGGGTTTTGATTTTTTACTTTGCTTTTCTGTTTGGAGTGTCATTGTAACTACTGTATTGTAAATGATGGAAAATAATTGCATATGTTATTTTGGGTGTGTTAATTGCATCAGTATTTTATCTCTATTAATGTTTGTGCTCATCACTGCATATAAAAACTTGGATGTATCAATGTAACTTAATTTTTTATTTTCATACTGGCATTGTAGACACTTGAGAAAGCTGTATCTTGCAGGCTTGACTTAACTTTTTTTCCTTAAAAAAATCTGGAATATAATCTTACAGCATTTACTGGAATAAACAGTACAAAGCATTTGAGTGTAAAGCTCTCCAAATGTTTTGGATTTATAGCATTTCTTTGATAAACGAATTGCATACCACTAGTACAGCTCTAGTACAGTGTTGACAATAAGCTAATGATGGACAAACTTTTCTTTACTCCATTAACACAAGCAGTGTTTTATTTAATAATCATCAATGAAATAAATGTGCCTGAAATTGATTTTAAAATTTACAGTATTAGATCATAAAGTAAAAACCAGCAGTACATTTTTAGTCACACTGAAAATGAAGGACTTAATTTTCCCCACAAGTTTCAGTGTTTTTAGTAATCAATTCTATGCATTTTATATAAATAGAAATATGTATATATTACACATAAAAAAGAGTAGCCTAAGATTAATTTAAAAGATTATTTACAGATGGCAAATTTATGAAGTCACTATTTAAATAAATGCCGTTGCCCTCAACAGCCTTCTAATTTTATTTATATGGTCCAGCAGCTCACTGGTATCTGTTCACTTCTTGGAGGAGAATCGGTGCTGGAAGCGGAAACTGGAAACAGGTGTAGAGGTTCGATTGATGTTTGTACCCCAACAGGTACAAAACCGGCGCAGTTTGCTTTTTATTCAGAGCCATTTTCACTCCCCTGACACGTCCTGTTTTCCATTTTTCAGTTCCACGACTACGATGGTCTTGTTAAGTAGACAGTAAATGATAAACTTCAATGTTTTCATAGTAGTAATGCTTGATAAAGGCATACCCCAGTAAAATACATCGCTCTGAATTGATTCCAATCATGGGCTTTTTATATGTTTAAAAATAAAAAAATGTTAAAGCCTGAAAGCATAATGACAAAAAAGGTTTGGATTTATACCTTCTTTAAAGCCATTTTTACCAGTTTTCTTTGGTTTTAATGCTTTCTTAAATAAAACACTGCATGAATTTCAAGTTGCGCATTTGCATACTATTTTAATGTACAAATTATTTTTTAACAAATATCCTGATATTTAGTTTACTTTTTTTTTTTTTTTTTCCTTCAGGGTGTTTAACTAAGTATGTTACTGTAGTAGCAAAGCCTTTTCATTTTAAAAATCTCTACTTATTTTAAACTTTGTTTGCATTAAGTAAAAGTTAAATCATACACTGCAAGGTGTAGGAGGATTTGTTTTAATGAACCAATGATAGATTTGATTACTAAGTTTGAACTGTTAAACTGTTTAACAATCTTAGACTTGTGGCTTTCTTTCTTTGGTTTGTTTGTTTTTGCTTTTCTATGCTACACTAGTTTGCCATGTAGCAATTGCACTGTGCAATATTACAATAAGGACTGGGAAAATTTTTATGGATGTAATGTCTATTACGGTTTGCGATAGTATTTCTCTCTAGTTCTCAGTGATTTAAATGTGACCAAGCCTTCTGTACTTTGTCACAAAAAGCGGGTTTTCCAGGTGACTATTTTGGTGAGTGTCAAAATAAGAATTTATGGTGTATTACTGTCGATTCACTTTGAATTAAAATATATATATTGCAGCAAACAGCTTGTTGACTTTTTTTCCAACCCAGGACTGCTTATAGGATAGAAAAGGGATTGGCTAGTACAGTGGTCGGCAAACCGCGGCTCACGAGCCACATGCGGCTCTTTGGCCCCTTGAGTGTTGTAACTTCTTCAAATAGACTCGCCCAGGCAGAAAACCGACTTCTGCTCATGGGCCACGAAGTTTCAGTCACACTGTACGTGCGCACCTGCACATGGTAATTTTGTGTAAGGGCCACACTCAAGGGACCCAAGAGCCGCATGTGGCTCTCGAGCCGCGGTATGCCGTCCACGGGGCTAGTAGCATTTAGAACCTAACTCATGTCATCTCAGTTAATTCTCCAAACCATTTGTGTGAGATAGGTATTATTATCTTTATTATAGAAACGAGGAAATAGGTCAAAATAACTAGGTAAGTGGACCAACGTCACAGTGCTAGTGAAAGGTGGATCTGGGATATGAACCAGGCTGTTTAACTGTAACTAGTTTACTTTCCACTACTTCTTTTTATTTTTCAATTACAGCTTACTTTCAGCATTTGGTATTGGTTTCAGGTATACACCTTAATGGCTGGACAATCAGATAATCTCTTTACATAGTGTTCCCATTGATATTTCCCGTTACCAGCTGGCACCTTACATAGTTATCACATGTTAATGACTGTATTTCCAATTCTGCACTTCACATCCCTGTGACTATTATGTAGCTACTTCTGAATCCCTCTACCTCTTTCTCCCAGTCACCAGACCCCAGCTCCACTGGTTCTTTTAAAACTGAAGTCTGAGTCCTACAGCCACGTGGTCCATCTCATTGAAATATTATTTTCTTAAATTTGTTTGAGGTAAACATTTCTGTTAGTGTGCATGGAGGAAAATTAGGGAATTCACATGAATTTTTAAGATATAAAACATGAGACTTCAAAAGAATGTGTTTATAGTAGGTGATTTGGGTTATAACCTCACACTTTAAGGATCTGATTTGAGAAGCAGCATCAGTAGGAAAGGTGTGTGTGTCGGGGGGGGGGGGAGAGGTGGCACTCTAGCGTACTCTAGAGAGAATATATATTCTCCATACCGCAGTAAACTTTTGCTTGAAGCTTAACATAAGCACTGTGGTGTCTGGCTTCTTTTGTCCAGCATTTCATTTGTAAGATACATCCATGTTGTGTGTAGTTGTGGTTCATTTATCCTCATTGCTGTGTAGTATTCCTTTGTGTGCATCTGCATGCCAGAGTTATTTTCTGAATAGCCAGTTTGCTGGAATAGTTTTCTTTCAGTTTTGACAGTGATTGCTATATTATAGTATGACCAGCAGGGGGAGAAAGAGTTCTCTAGTAATTTTTCTTTCAAGTTTGGTCCAATTAGAACTTCAAAGACAATAAAGTAGAAATAGCGACAGTGTGGACCATGTCCCACAAAAAAATTGATAATATAATGTGAGAGTTTTCTAACTTTTGTAAGTAGATTTTTGAAAAAGTGAGAGAGGATTTCAAGCCTCAGTGAATCCTTGATGGACTACTTAGCTTTACTTACCGGTTT